GGTGGTGGTGGTGGTGGTGGTGGTGGTAAAGAACAGAATCCGCGCGCCTCCGCGCGACGCGTCTAGTCAACCACAATCCAAACGCGGTCACGCTTTTCGCGTCTTCGGCGTTTCGGCCGCGGTTGAACCGATCATCGAAGGAGGGAATTATCAAGGCTACTGTGGCATCACAACTTGTATGGAGTATAGTAAGGTTATCATACAGACTCAGCCACCCATGGTAAACCGACTGCATGCATCTTGACCGCGATCTCACAAAGGTAGTCCAAGCACTGTTCTGCAATGAGTGAAGGCGTCCGAAAGGAGGGCAAGCTACTTTACCTCTGTTTGTGTTTTTGCACTCTGCCAGTCTTTGCCTGCGCGCGATGTAAGCTTTCTCGTGCATACGCGTAGCAGAATGCGCATGCGTACCCCAGACATAGATGCCGTGGCGGCGCACGAGAACGCCGGCGGCGTTGGGGTGCTTCTTCATCGCCTCTGCCATGCTGTCCTTCAAGTCCCGCTCGTGTGGCGTGTTGTCGATGATAGGAACCTCGAGCGTGTCCGGGTACGATAAAGCTGCGTTCATACCGCCCAGACGGACTCCCTTGATCATTTCCTTCACGCCGGATCAGTAGGACGTTTCAGCTGGGAACTAAGATACCGACCTGATGCGAGATGCGGAAGACGTCTCCTTTGGCCAGTAGGGTCACCATAACAGCATTCTGCGAGTGCGTATGCACACAGCTGCCCGCATCGCGCAACTCAAACGCGTTCCAGAACAATGGCGTGCACTGGGATTCATTCAGGGCCTGTGTCGGACGTCGAAGGAAGACGCGATCGGTCATAGGCTGTGGGTACGGTAAAACAAATATATGCTCGGGCAGAATGCGCTCTTTCTGCACTCCAGACGGTGCGATGTACACTACATCACTGCGCGCTGTTCAGATCCTGTCGAGCGAGCGGAGCGCGGAGATACGCACCCGATCCGAATGCAGATGCCGCCCCCAGTGCCCGTCACCCAGCCCAGCTGATAGAAGCCTCTGCAAAGCTCCGGAATGAGGTTCGCGGGCTGCAATCGTGGGATCAGCCGCTGAAGAGCGCGTCGCTTGCTGATCGTACGTGAATGGGATCGTTCGAGCGGATGAGCTCGTCGCCTGGGTTAGATTCAGCCATTTTCGAGATGGTGGATTGAGTGCAAGTAGAACCAAGGTCTTCGCACAAGTTCGATTGCGTTTCCGACAACTAAACTTGCGCAAGACCACGTGTCATGTGCATTCATCATGGACCCACGGAGTAACACAAACTACTACCAGACAAGTGCATCAGGAACGTGTTATTGAGACTGTGCTAACAAGAGAGTTACGGGCAACTATTATGACACCCATGTTTTTGAGAACACCCTGCATTCAATGAGCGTGTCGGATGATGACAACCAGCCCGTCAGAGTGCGCGGAGAAGATCGCATCGACCCACTTCTCGTCGTTCAACGCGGAGCGTGCTCGGTCTGGCTGACGCGAAGTCGAAGCTTGAGCTTGGAGATTGGCGGGCGCGCTAACTTGATGTGACGAGGGTGGGCGACTGCCTGCGCTCCCTCGTCGACTGAGGGGCGCAGAGCGGCTCCCGGATCCGCCGCCGCGGCTATTACGACGGCTTCGCGTACCAGGGATGTCAGGCCGATCTCTAAATAACGGTCAGTCACTGGAATATGCTGATGACGAATGATATGTCCGCACTTAGAATCGCGACCAGGCAGAAATAGGTGGAACTTCCCGTATCCAAACCCGCCATCGCTTGGCTGTCCGCGCTCATTCACGCCCCACGCTTTGACGGCCTCGATCCAGCTTTTGACAAGCTCCTCGTCTTTCTTAGCGACAAAATCGAAGAACGGTCGTCCCATCACATTCACTGTCTGGACAAAGTTGTCATTGGACACGTAGGTGATGGGGCAGTCCTGCGAAAAACGGTCCAGGAAGAGCGCCGTTCTAACGGACTGTGCTGGAAGAGGTGGGAAGCCGATAACACCCGTCTCGTCGTAAGAAGCTGGAGGGAGCGTGCCAGGGAGAGACAGGCGATTCCTTCTGCGGCGCGTTGCCGAAAGAGACTCTGGCGGATCACTCAGACGCGTCGGAGACAGCTCCTTGCGTGAACGCCTGGGAGGAGGGGGCGTGAGTGTTTGACGCGGCGGTGCCGAGGGCGAGTCAGGACGCTCAACGACGTCCTCGACTTGGCCTTCGTCTTTCTCAACCAGACTGAACGGGTCTTCATCCGCCCAGTGCTATATGAGCCGTGCTAACGTCAGACATGGAAGCTCGAGTGGGAGATATAGAGCGCATACTGACCCGGAAAGCGAGATGCTTTGCGTACGGAGTCACGACCTCCACAGCGGAGGCGGTGGAAACGTTGCGCATGGTCTGAGCACCTTCCGAGGCATACGAAACACTACCAACCAACACATTCTGAGCCACGGTACGCGTGATGGCGCATAAAATATAACCTGTCCATATCTGTCGGTGAGGGGATTGAGGCTCAGATGATGGCATGCTAACCGTGAAGGGGATCCTTGTGTTTCATGCGCAGATATGCAAGCGCTGCTGCTTTGTCTTGGGCGATGGTAACGCTGAAGAAGGCGATCAGACTTGACATGCGGTGTGCGGTCTGACGGAACAAACTTACTAATGCATTTGTTTGACAGGTGGGAATTCGTCGGGATGCACAAGGTCCAAGGAGGAGGTGCCAACTAACTCGCGAGGCTCGTACCCTGTCGTGAACGTCTTCAGTACAGGCTATGTCAAGGTGCTTGATGAGCATAGTACCAAGTAGTTCGGACACCGATTCTGAAAGGAAGACCCAATTTGCCTACAAGGATGTAAGTAGCCTTCTTAGCGCAAGGCAAACACGACAGTACCTTCTCCGTAAAGTCGACTATGCCGACTGCACACAGACAAGTCAGACGGTGAACGTATAGACACTCATAGACATGCTCACTGAAGGATACAGCGGGGGTGTTGGTAAGAGCACCCGACGGCGCCATAGTGACAAAGCCAAGAGCACAGTTCAGGAGCTTAGAGTGACAGGTATCAGAGCCGGGGAAGAACAGTGCGCCCTAGCACAACTTCCAGGAGACAGAGCGGGAATGTAACGATCGCTATGCAAGCTTTATAGGGTAGAGTTATGGGTGCTAGAAAACGCCGCAGAAGGCAAGATAATCACGGGCCCTTCCGGCTTCCAGCATTGGGCTGACAGAGTCCAGATTCAGTGCGCAGATCGGCAGGGCAACAAGAGTTCCTATATGATATCGTGCGCGCTCTTGCGTGCAGGCCAGGCGGACATGGTGGGAGCAGACAAGGCGCGTCAACAATTATTGTCCCACGCAGAAACGCTGTGAAGTCTTTTCTCTCTCCTCAGCCACCACCAGCTGCAATCACACTTTTGAGGCTGATTGACCCCCGACGGTTGAAGGTGACTCCCAAGTCCATGCCTATGAGGAAGTTACACCTCTGAAGTCAGTTCGCTTCTTCGTTCATCTAGCGCTTCGACATTCGCTTCTATTTGCCGCTCCGACTTCCGAGGCTGTAGGCGCCTCAGTGTATATTTCTGAATAAAAAGTAGGGGTCTCATTCCCATGACGAAGCCCGCAACTGAAGCATGCCGTAGTCATGTGGACTACAGGGCGAGAGATCGCGGCCGGTGATGTTGCTATAGCTTTCATGGTAAGCCGGCAGGAAACGGCACCGAATCTACAGTCTATTTGACAGCGCATACAAGACAAGGGATCTCATTCAACCATTCGTTGTTGAGCCGGGCAAGGATCTCAACAACAAGTTCGGTTATTATCGTCATTCCGACCTCATCGGTCTTCCTTGGGGGTCCAAAGTTGGCTCTCGCAACGGAAAAGGCTTCATACACATCCTTCGGCCGACCCCCGAACTTTGGACGCTTGGTCTGCCTCACCGCACTCAAATTCTATATCTTGCCGACATCTCGCTAATCGTTTCATGGCTCAACATCCGGCCCGGTAGTACCGTGATTGAAGCAGGTATGTGGAGCTTTGAATGACTATGACAAGCACGCGGACGGCAAGCCAACCAACATAGAAGGCAGTATTCACTCCGCTCGCACGCTTGTCTATATACGTATCGTCCAGATCTCTGCGTCGGAAGAGTCTATCTCGGGGCCCTCAGGTTCCCTTACTCAAGTTTGCCTGTCATGGCTTGATAGCTCAAATCTGCTGGGAGCCAACCGCTTGGAGATCTGAGCTGCTTCGAGTCTATCATTGGATCTCGCTTGACAGCTGGATGCTCTGAGTCTTCTGCTTTCCATTCCCAGACCTCTACGCGGCACGGGGGACCTGACGGCGTTGACAGGTACCGGTTCAGGCTCGTTTACGCACTCGATAGCGCGCACGGTGGGATCTTCCGGTAAAATATACACGTACGAATTCCACGAAGCTAGGGCAACCAAGGCACGGTGCGTCTTATGGCTGATTGTGCCGGCACGCCCTTGAACAGGCTCTTCAGAGAAGAATTCGAGCGCCACGGGATGTCGGATGCTGTAACCCTCACTCACCGCAACGTTTGTAAAGATGGGTTCACAGTTGAGAATGTGGCCGATGCGGGTAGGAGATCGCCGCCACTCGGCTGTACACATGGGCGCACTAACTCCTTCACCAGTCTTTCTCGATCTACCTGCACCCTGGGATGCCATTGAGCACGCAAAAAAGGCGCTTCGTGTACGCCCCAATTGTCAACCATCATTCAAAGAAGCTAACAAGCCTCCGGATGTTCCAGGATGATCGCACCACCCGGATATGTTGCTTCAGTCCATGTATGGAACAGGTTCTGCGCACAGTGTCGTCCCTGAATGAGGCCGGCTTCACTGGTAAGCTCCATGTGCCCTTCAGTCCGCCCTACTAGCCCTCAACCAAACTTCTCTACAGACATCACGATGTACGAAACGTTATTACGCCCACACGAAGTTAACGAAGTACCAGCCCTACCCTCGATTGCCACTGCAACCGAGAAGCTCAAACAACATGAACGGAAGCGCGAGGACAAGCGCATGCGACAAATCGCAGCGTCTCAGGCGAAGCTTGTTGAAAAGCAACAGAAGCGTAAACGGGGCGACAACGACGATGGCGAAGGAAGCGTCGAAGACACGAACGAATCTAAGCGACTGAAAACTGGTGGCGATGATGAATCAGAGGTCGCGATGGTAGTGGAAGGCGTTGACGTGACGTCTCGTCATCAAGAGTCGTCAGTGCAGGTACAGGAGAAAGCGCCTGCCAAGCCCGCCGTTTCTGTCGAGACAGATTCCATTGAGGACGCGGGCCAGCAGCAGGTCGTGTCCAGGGTGGTCCCCGAGGTCCGCGGCCACACCTCTTACCTCACATTCGCCATTCTACTCCCTCGTGTGGTTACCGCATCTTACGCTAGCGCGAACGAGGCTTCTAAGGAAGCGACGCCAGACTCATGAAGTCTTCGAGAACAGGTGGGAGACGATCTGGCGAATACTCGCAAGTAGTTAACCTACATTGACAGAAGAACAAATAGCTATATTAGCGATAAAGATAACATGTAGTAGGCAGTGAAAACTCTATCAGCATGCCGAGCTACCGTGGATATCCCTATTCGAGATCGTCAAGCGCATCTCGTAACACTTTATCTTGTTCGTGCTCGAGCTGAGCAGCACTCTTCCCACTCCTTGTTCTGAGCACACGATCCGAACGTGGTAGAGGTGGTGCCGCCAGTGTTCTAACTCGCTTCGGGGCACGCGCTCGCGTCTTTGGTCTTGCCTCTGCCTCTCTGTCAGAGGCCTCAGGCGGGCTGTCATCACCCCGTGTGCGCTTCTTGCTCGCCACGCGGCGCTTCGGACGACTGCTAGCCTCCGGCTCGCCCGCGCTCATGCTCTCTCGCGTCAAACGAGTAAGCTGTGACACCGGTCGCGCCGCTACATGATCCTTCGGAAGTGACGCTTCAGATAGATCACTTTCCTCGTCCAGAGATCCCGGCGCGCTGGGCTGTCCGTTCGTATTCGCCGCAGCGAGCTCGGCGAGCGAAAGAATCGGCCCCGCGGTAACGTGTACAATGGGTAGATCCTCTCTTTGCTGCCGCAATCCGTCTTCGATCTCTTCCATGAAAAGTGTCGTTGAGCGCGTCCCGCTCTCATCGATTGGCGTAGAAGGACCGGCGCTCGCTTGTAGCCGCGAGATCACCGATAGAGGTGTGTCCGGCGGCCCCTCCTCCGGCACAGTGTAGTAGTTTTTGGGTAGCTTGTAAGCCGCCACGATGTCATCAGGCTGCGTCAAGAACCCGCCTGCAACGGGAACATGCTCGTTGTCATCTGCTGGATTCGTTACGATGTTCGCGCGTGACCCCTCCTCATTATTAGTCTTGTTCCCGTACTGCGCCAGTAGGCGCTCGCGCGTGCGAAGTCCCTGCACCAACCGCGTCCAGCGCTTGATGACCGCAACCCGCCGTTTCTCCGCCTCCTTATCCGCCGCAGCCTGTTCGGACTCCCAATAGGCTTCGAGCACGGCAGCCTCGTTCTCTGCGGCGACGACTATACCAGTGATGATGGGGTTTGCCCGGGCTTTCCTGAACTCAAAGCCCGTTACAGCTTCCGCGAAGTCAAATCCGAGTTGGCGTGCGATCTTCGCTGTGCCGCGATCTATGCGCGGGCGTAGGCGTGAGCTTATCTGCTAGCGGAAGACTTTGAGCTGAGACGACATACAAGGGAGGTAAGCTGCGCCTTGTGGCAACATTGAAGGGACGTAGAGATCGATATTACCGAAGTCGTTCTTAGGAATGACTCCCTGCATCCTTGAATCAGCAAACACATACGCTTACACATTTCGAAGGGGCAGACATACGTCGACGACTGGGATAGGCATGTATATCTCCGTCTGACGCTCGGCGTATAGACCCTGCATCGGATCACCGTCTCCGCTTGCACCAGCCTCTCGCAATACCTCAAGCTCGCGCTTTCTGTTGATCGTGCTTGCGCGTTGCTTGACCTGTTTGAGCGCTTGTTCGCCGGCTCGAACCTGTCGTCCACGGCGCATCCAATTCTCCGCGGTCTTGAGCTGCAACACACTACTTCGTGGGTACACTGACTCGCCACGAAACTTTCCAAGCTCGGCAGTGTGTGGTGCGATCACTTCGTCCTGGTGTAGATGTCGCTCGAGAACGTACAGCGCGTGGTCCTTGAAGCCCGTCATAGTCGTTGGCATCGGCTCCTGATACCGTTTGGCCGTCAATTCTTCGTCCTCAAGATCGTCTCGGTTCTGCACGATGATTTAGTTGCTGCGGCGCGTTTGAAGAGTTGCAAGCATACCAAGCGATACGGTCTCGTCACGAAACTCAAAGCTCCTTCCCACCATTGCTGCTGACCTCTCCCTCCGGCTTGTGACTTGGCAATCTTCGCGCCGTACTCTCGCGCATAGCGCACAGTGAGATCTCGGGCGTAACCATCCTCTTCGAAGGCGATAACATATTGCATACGGTTGTCGACGCGCACATTTCGGGACGACACAGTATTGGTACTATTCATGGGTGCGGATGGATCGAATAGTCTGGGCTTGTTGACAAGAGCGCGGATAGGGTCAATTGGCAACCAACGTCCATCGGGTTTGCTGAAGACTTCGGTCCAGAAGATGGGCGGCGTTCTCAATGGATCTGGAGGTTCTGAGACGTCGTCAGCGTAGAGCTGAACGAGAGAGGGCACGCCATACCTTGGGGTCGAGTCGAACCCAGCCTTTGCCCTTTCGCCTTACTTTTACGAAGTTTGATAGCGGGAGGAGCGGGAGCCTTGGCCTTGGCCTTTCCCTTCGTCGCCGAACCATTCAATCGTACACCATCGCCAGGGAATGATCCGGCACGAACTTGTTCCATATCGCCGTCACTCCCGACATCGTCCACATTAGCCGGAACAGACGCTTTGCCTTTCCCCTTGGGTTTAGTCGGAGGCTTTGGTCGACCAATACTCGCCTGCCAAGGGACACTTTGCAGACTGCAGACGAGACGCGCAGGGATCCCTAAAGCACGGCACAATGCGGTGAACAGCTGTGAAGAGACATCCCGGCTGCCTGAGCGCTGCAAGGCATGTTTCATCAGGCTCTTCTCCGTCCGGACAACTTCGACTTCCTCGTCGCTGTCTACGAAATCGAACCAATCGACGTCTGGCGGAGGTGCTGGTGCTTTCTGCTTGCTCTTCGCCTTAGCGCTCTTCTGCTTCGGTTGCCACTTCGCTTTCCCCCTCCACTTCGCCTGTTCTCTCTCCTTTTCTGTCTCCTCTTCCGTGTCAGGCTCCACAGGATGAAGCAGAGATGAGTCCATGAACCCCCTCGCGACAAGCGATTGCTGCACTTCGTCGAACGTACGACTACGCAGGTGACCAGACTCGAGCACCTCGAAAAACGAGTGCGCCCACCACTCCGCGAGACGTGTTATGGCGAGCTCAAACATTGTCCCGCGTTTATAGGAGTCTGGTATGCGAGACTTGTGGATGCTGGCGAATTGGTCCTGCACCCATAGGGGCGTTAGGGAGAGGAGACGCGCCTGAAGAGTATGATGAGATAGGGCGGGGCAGAACGTAAGAAGTAGGGTCATACTCGCAAAAGCTCATCGTTGAGCCATTTGTTCCGAGCGCGCACATTCAGTAGCAGGGCGACGGTATGGATCTTGTGGACATCTATGCGAAAGCGCCTCTCAGCGGGCGACACTACACTTGTCTTCCTGACGCATATATAGTCAGCAGGCCGTAATATGGTGTGGATATTAACCCCGCACTTGATTCCTGAGGGTTCTCCACCATTCCCAGTCTTGCTGTTGGCCTTCTTGAGCGTAATCTCAAGGTTTGGACGCGTCGAGGGGCCGGCTTGGGGTTCAAGGTCATCCAATTGGTCGTACCCAGTTGGTGCTTGGACTAGCGCAGGTTCTTGGGGCACAACCACCTCGTCCCACAGATCATCGTCATCAGATTCATTCTCAAGTAGTACTTCATCGGGGTCGGCAGAGGACATGGTGGAAGGAGGTAAGACGCGTTCTCGACGCGTCCGGAGCCGATGACCTCACATCAATATTACCGCGCGAGTCATGTGTGCGCGTTTCGCGCTGACGCTCGCTGAGTCGCCCGACTGTTCGTCAGCAACTGCCACCACCTACCACTTGGGTTCGCTATCTGAAATCAATTGTCGTCAAAGCACCTCCGCATATGCCTCTCACTGCATACGTCTAATGAACGTCTAATACCCCTTTTTATCCGCCCTCTTTCCTGTTCGCGCTCGCCGCGCCATGTGCCCGTTCCGGCGACTGCGACTGGACATGGCACCAGCGCTCGCGTTACCGTCGTGACGAGGCTACAGGCAATATATGATAATGGTCTGACCGACCTTATCAGGGCCCTATCAAGGACTCCGCCCTTTGCGAGGATTGTGCAGGGTACTGGGAGTAGTATATGGGGCAAACATACACATCTCCGTCGGCATGTACACTCATGGATTGCTTGATAATACATCTTTTTTTGCCTTCATCTGGCCAGAGTTTCAAATATGCGCGTCGAGAGCGGAGAGAAGTCGCTACGTGGTACAGCTTATGCTTGGGAGAGCTCGCACGCGAAGAAGCTCGTGTGTACTCGGTGACCATGCGTGAGAGTACGTCCGGCTGTCACTAACGCGATGTTTCAGCCAATCTAGCATTCATATAGAGCAGCCATAGCTATCCGTATAGACGCAAGGATCCGTCCTGTACTGCTATACGCCGTCGTGTGTCGGCACAGTTGGAGCCGCCTTCAGGTCTTCTGGATCTACAGACAGCCATGCATTCTTCCCATTACTCTCACCTCCCGCACGCGACATGTGCTCCGATTTCTATTCCATCTCGAATACGCCGTACAAGTGAGCGGCGCGTGAGCCAACAAAGCTCCGCGATTCGCGGTCAGAGATTGTGGCGTTGACATGCTTTGATGAAGTATATCCGTCGGCGTCCTAGCTGGAAGATGATACGCTCATGCATTCCGCCCTCGGCAGCTAGTTCCGCTATGGTACCACCCTGAGAGACGCCCAGCGACCTCTTACAGGCAGGCATTGACAGTGCCAGAAGCAGAAGTTGCGGTAGTGTTTTTGTCGACGTAGCATAGCCCTTGGCTCGCACTCAGGGCGCTGACGCGCGGGTAAGGGCGTTCACTCGCCAGCCCGAAGAAGGCAACGCGAAGTATCTTCCCCGCATGAACGTTGCGAGTTGCGTCCCGCAGTCGCAAAACTCCGGCGCTCGGCGGATACAAGAACTCTCCTCCTCATCCATCATGACACGCGACGTGTGGGTTGCGTGATGGTTGCCTTTTCGGGTGCCGTTTTAGCCCGCGCCGAGCTATCGGAACATAGCAGAAGGCGTTGTGGTGGGCCAATGCTCTCGTTGTCGAGATTCTTGTGATAACTCGCAGGCGGCTGTGGGATAGATATCGCGACATGCACAGGGCCAAGGAACATGTACGCGCTGTGTTGAGACTGTTTTAAGTTTCTGTGAGAGGCCGAGCGTAAACACGCGACTGATCGTGGCGGACGACCATGGAAGACCTGTTGGAGATGCGAACGCTGTTCATACTCCCCCGTACGTCTGAGGGCCATATAGAGTTACATGCAAATGTATACAAGGTTGACGCGGATGATTGTGGCGCAGCCTAGTATAGAAAAGCGGTACATTGTACTATATCGTATGACGCAGGCGAGAAAGGGAGCTGGAGGAAGTTGCGACTTCGGGTTCGACGCGGTGGTGATGGGCTGTATGGGATATCAGGTACGCAACTCCGTAGCCTCTTTCCGGAGTTCGTCGCACGCACCTCCCCGCGTCGACCTTCCTTTCCACTCTTGTGATGCCTCGTTTGTGCGCTTCTTCGGATAGAATGCAATGGATGTTCGGTTGAGGCGCGGCATGAAGTGCGCCCATTGGTCGCCGGAACGAATATGGACATCTCCTGAGATGACAAGCCAAGTGGACAGCTGAATTCGAGGCGAGCGGCTCAGTCCAGCGGCTGGGATGAATCAGATCACGCTCTAAGTAAGGCTTCGGCTTCTCTCCTATCGACCATCTCCCCCTCCTCGCCTTCATAACCAGCATGAGTCGCAGGGTGCACAACCCCTCCATGCCCCCGCCTCCCCCTCCACTATCACGCGCAGAGCCCATGGGACCTCCGCCGCTCCCCGGTTCCACGTCTCAACCGTCCACTCCGCCCGCAACGGAGATGAGAGAGCAGAAGAACTACATGGAGAAGTACTACAAACTGAAGCGGTTATATTGGGATCTTCAGGAGGTGCGCCGACCCTGTATATTCGCACTCAGGACAGTACGGCTGACGCGAATGCCTACGTAGAAATATAAGAATATAGTCGAAGAGTTACACAGCTCTGGTATGCGAAACTCGGCCCTCATACAGGAACGCTCGTGCGTACAATCTTGCTTCTGTGCTAAGTTATAATGAAACAGGTATATTGACGAATGACGGGCAGAGTTTTGCTCGACCGCATCATTGAACTGGAGAGCCCGCCCACGCATAAACAATCTCACACCCCCGGCCAACTTCCAGCCAGTGCAATACCGCGCTCGTTATACTCTGAACGTGCTCAGGCAACATTGAGGGAAACTGTCAAGCAGGCCATGGAAGAGTGTGCTGTGGAGGATCGCGCGGTAGATCCTGCTTTGGCTATTCGGCACGTCGGACCGACTGCACGGAAGCGTGAGCGCGAAGAAGCAGAGACGCACGCTCAGCACACGGCTCGTACCGAAGAGCACTCGACGCCTGCCAAACGCCGTCGCACGAAGAAGGATAAGGAAGTCCTCGAACCTGTCGCGCTTCCCCCACCGCCGGCAGCGAAACACATCCGCGCAAAGCCATCTGCCGTCCCATCTGCGCCGCCCTTGATCCAGGAGCCGCCCATTGAGCGCCAACCTGTATTGCCACCGTCTATCCAGCCAACCCAGCAGCCCGAGCTGTTGCATGACCCTCGTATAGCACTCAATGGGCACCAGGACAAGTCTGCGTCGCCTTTGCCTTCGTCTGTCTCCTCGCCTCATGACGAGCAAACGCCCCCCATAGCCTCTTCTTCGCCGAGATTTCAAGCTCAGACGCCATCATCGTCTAGTGTCATCTCTAATGCGCCTCCGCCACCTTCCAGTGCCCCTTCCTTGCAGTCGTATCCTTCCCCTGAGTTCCAGCCGACTTCCCCCAACGACTCCTTCCGCTCGCCGGAAATGTACACCGCGAACGGCAGACATGCACGACCAAAAAGGCTCAAAGCTCACACGGTTTCGCACAAAACCCACCAGATCCCCACTGTACCGAGAGATCCGCACGGCGCTCCGATTCTTCCTCTCAACGTTGGCATCATGACAGTGATCTCGCTCGGGACAGTGTGCCTCCGCGAGCACTTCCATACGGAGCGATACATATTCCCCATCGGTTACGAGGTTACCCGGTACATCCCCGTCCAGCTTTACGTCTGAAGACTGTTCACTGATTGCTTCGAATAGTCGATATCTTTCCGCTCGCGATCCTCACTCCGAGGTCGTCTACCACTGCAAGATCCTCAATGGAGACACCGGTCCCAATTTCCAGATCATTGCCGACGACCAGCCCGAGAAACCCATCGTGGCGGGTACACCCACAGGCGCTTGGTCCGTTGTCGTTCGCGCTGCGAATCACATCCGCAATCGCGCGCACTCTAATTCTGTCTCTGGGCCGGACTTCTTCGGTCTCGGCCAGAACACAATCAAACATCTCATACAGCAGCTTCCTGATGCCGACAGGCTGAAGGATTACGTTTGGCAAACATTTGTCGAGGGCGGAGATGGACGTGCGCTTGGTGGGCGACACGCCCCTGTGGCGCCTGCTCATGCGGAGCCTGCGAGCAACGGCTCGTACGATAGCGGAGGCAATGTCGTGCGCGAACGTGATGCTTCGAACGGTGACATCGACATGGAGAACGAGTCCCGACCAGGTCATCGTCGTAATAACTCTCAATCCTCTCAATCGACACGATCGCCTGCCAGCCCCTATCCACATCCGGCAACGCAACCCATGTACGCCCCAAGACCACCACAGGACGAGTCCTCATATTATGCGCGATCACCACGACAGCGTGAGCCCGAGCGCTACCCACCTCAACCAGGTCGCGAACTCGAACGCTACCCGCCACCGCCAGGTCGTGAAGCGGAACATTATCCACCCCCCAGCAACGGACCAGAACGCTACGCACCACCACCGCGCGCAGCCTACGCATATAGTCACACACGGGGTTCCCAAGAGTCTTACGCTCGCTCACAACCAGAATCTTACCCCGGCTCTCCGCCCGATTCATACGTGACACAACAACAGGAGTCGTATACGCGGTCACCCCCAAGTTCGGCCACCTCTTTCGTACGCGGGGAGGGTTA